TTTCAAATGTAATATCTATCATTTTACCTGTTACTCCTTTGAACTCACCCACTTTAATATGTTTCGAAAATGAAATGTATTTCTCTTCCGTAGATGGAATACAATCTAATTTTCCTGGAATTTTAGCAAGTTGTTTTATAAATAAATGGGCGTCGTAACCTTGAAGATTATGAAATATTACTGGAAGAACTCTTGGTTTACGGCATTTCAAATTACACTTGTTATGAGCAGCACCTCTGTATTTACCTGTAAAATGGCAATGATCTCTAACTCTGTCTTCACCCAATTCTTCATCGCATATTGAGCAATATTTAGCTTGTTTAAAAGTATTTTCTTCTTTTTTAGTTAAAAACATTAGTTTTGGTTTTCGGTAGTATTCGGTATATATTGATTGGGTGTAACCCACAATTTTATTTACAAAAATAGCTGCAACATCATCATCTTCTTTTTCCTTTGTAAAGCTTTCTGTTTTAAACCTTCCTATTACCCCTTTGAGATAAAAACAAAATCCTGATGGTTCGTGTTTTTGGTATTCCACATTAAAAGATTTATTTGGATCTGGTTTACAATTTAAAACAGGTTTTGTAAAACACTCAAAATCAGCATATATTACAAAAGGAACCGGATACTTTTTGTGAAAGTTTTTAAAATAAAGACTTTCTCCCTTCTTTGGCATTTTAACTGCAACCATTTTGTTGCCGGAACAATATTTTTCGTGTTTCTCAAAACTATTTTTTACTGCGAAATGGCACAAACATCTTTTACAAATATAGACACTACCAATAACTTTTGATTTAGTCATTTGAGTTCTGATTAACCTACTTAGATTTTTTATCAGAGTGTAGTGGCTTTTACCGTCCTCTTCAAAAAGAAATAAGTCTATACTCTTCCTACAATTTTTGTTTGAGAGTTTAAGAGGGTAAATAGTTTTTCCTTCAACTGAGAAGACTGTTATACTTGGAATATTTGGGTTAAGCTTTTCAAACTTTCTTATATTTTTAATATCCATTGGAAAAGTTAATCCCTTTGTTACTAATACGTTTTCATACTTTTTCAAATCTGATATTATCTCATTATCTCTTGGTTTCATGTGAAGATATCTTAGTACACACCAGATAAAGCATTTATCGTCTTTGTTTTTCGGGTTTATTATTGCCTTTTTATTTTTGATCCAAACTGGTAGATCTATATAAGATGAACCTTTTTGAGGGGAGTATTCAACAACATTTATCTGCAACTCTTTTATATTCTTAAAATACCATCCACTTCCATTATTCTGATATTTTTCGATATCTAAGTTAATCTTTTTAAAGTTATCTTTTACAAGCTTTTCCACATTTGTTGACTTTAAAACTCTCTTTTTCTCAGTTCTAAAATACGCTTGATCCTCCTTGTAACCAGTAAGACCATGTTTATCAAAAAGTGGTTGTTGCATATCACAAACAAGAACAAAATTTGCTTTAATATTTTTGTTCTTTTTGAAGAATAATTCGATAAGATTTTTATTTTTTTCAAAAAATTGGTTAGGCATTAGATTTGGATCACCCTTTATTACATACTGTTTTGCAAACTCATCAATAGCTGTTTTAGTCTCGACTATTTTTTCTTTGTATTGCTTTAAAGCCTTCTGAAGAGCTTTCTTAAGATATGGTGGAGTGTCTTCAGGTATATTTCTGTTTTTTATACACTCATCAAAATACTCCTGAAATGTCTTCTTCTTCTTTTTAGGCTTTTTCTTGATGTTTATTCCTTGTCTTACTTTTTGCCTTGCTTTTTGTATTTTTTGAAACCTTTTGATGAGTTTCTTTCTTTCTGCTAATTCTGAGTACTCTTTTTTAAGAGCTTTCTCCAGAGACATATTCCGGAAATCTTTTGAAGCTGATTGTTTTGACATGTTTCCTTGTAAAGAGCAATTTTATTATAAGATTTTATTCTTTTAAATTCAATTTTATTTTTCTGACGTGGAATTTGTAATATGGAATAAATTGTGTATGCGGAAATAACATGAATTAGTAGATTTGTGTTATTTTGTGTTATTTTAGAGTAGTTAGGGAAATATACTCTTTTAGCGGTTTGCCATTTTTCATATGGTAGGGGCGCGCATTTTGAAGAAATGCGGGCACCAGGTGTGAAATTTGGTATTTCGCTAGAAGGTATATTTCCCTAACTACTACGGTTAGCTAGGTAAGATTTAAACCATTTCAGGGCGTCTTGATCAACGCCATACTTGGTAAGTTTTTTTAGATCTCGTGGTCAATAGTGTCAAAGGCCTTCTTCAAATCAATAAAGATAACACCATTAAGAAGGCCTCTGTCAATATTGACACACCAGTTATCGTTTGTCTCCAACAAGGCAGTAAGAGTGCTTTGCAGTTAGCGGAAACCAGACTGACCGCTGTTTAATAAACCATTTTCATTCAGATATTGATATAGCTGGTCATAGATAAGTTTTCGAAAATTTTGGCTACGGTACTGAGGAATAACAGATATAGGCCGACAGTTGTTTAGGTCAGACTTAGAACCATTCTTAAAAATTGGTGACACTTAAGCCATTTTCCAGTCAGAGGGGAAACTACCAGTCACTAACGACTGATTAAAGATGCCCGTTAAAGAGGGCGAGACAACATTGGCAGCAATCTTCAGAAGCCTGTTTGGAATTTTGTCAAGCCCAGTTGCCTTACCTACATCGATAGCCTTAAGTAATTTGATGACTTTTTGAACATTAATCCGTTGAAAAGAAAATACTCCGTCAACAGGATTAACATAGGCAAGTGGGTCAATTTCCGAACTAGGAATTTCTTGTGCTAGAGATTGGCCTATGTTTGTAAAATGATTGTTAAATGCTTTAGAAATATCACCAGGTGAGGTGAAAACTTGGTTTCCTGTTTTGACTTGAGACACTTTGGTTGATTTGCTTTGCCGAGAGTGGAGTTCATTAATTAATCTCCAGGTTTTACGAGGATCACTTTTGTTTGTTTCAAGGTTTTAAGAAAATTATTTACCTTTAGCTTTCTTCACTGAGTTCTTGGCCTTATTTCTTGCATCTTTAAACTGATTCCAAATCGAAGGGTCATTTGTAGATGCAGCTTTCCTTTTTAGAGAATCTCTTTTATGTATTTCACGCAACAGTTCATTAGTAATCCAGGGAGACCGTTTGTTTTTAACCCTTTTTGTTCTGAATGGTGCATGCTTATCAATAACACTCGCTAACAGGTGTTTCCAAAAGTCCCACATTTCATTTGGGTTATTGTACGTTGTAACGCGGTTCCAGTCAATCATGCAAAGATCTCGCAAAAAATTCAGCTTCATTGAAATTCTTGAGCTGTGGGACTTCCACAGTTTTATGCATATTGGAGCGAAGATGAGTAAGTTTACGTGTAAGAAAAATAGCAAAGTGATCACTTACACCAATATTAATAACACCTCACTTTGATAAATTCGTGCCACGTCGCAAAGTCCAGAAACGTCCGACAACAAACACTTCTTTGAGCTTTCTCAGTCTTGTGCCACTAATTAACCTGCTGTAGCTTCATCTGTCTTAGTATATTCCAAGTTGAAGTCCTATTTTACGGCTGCAGAAAGAATCAACGGGCTATAGCAGGCAAGGAACAAACATGGCGGTAATAATACAGAGAACATCTCACTACAGTGCGTCATGGACTGCGTTTAACTACATAAACTGCTGATTAAAGCACAACAGCTTCATTCAGGCCAAACGTTGAGTTCGGGGCCTTTTTTCCATATTTCTTTTACTTTCAACTAACTTGATCATGAACCTTTCCATGGCAAAAAGCTGCGATATTCATTCTTATTTAATAGGGAACTAGCAGTAGCCGTTGGCTAGGAAGTGCGGGCGAAACCGCTTTCTTATGTAGGTGAATTCCTTTTACTGCGGATCATGAAAACTGGATTGAACAACAAAGTAAAAAGACTCGTATAATTATTTAATTCAACAATTTTATTTGCATTTGCTTAGATACGAATGGTACGGAACGAGAAAAGACGTTTGCATTTTATTCGCCGGCGAAGATACATTGAAACAGTAATGCGTGACACAAGTAGTGTGGGTATGCACGAAGTCTTGTTATTCAATCGAATATTCAATCTGTGTTCAATGACCAAAGGCCGTTGATATGCAATACAAAATAATGAAACAGCTTAAATTACCACTGGAGTTCAAAGCTTATTAAAGCTTTCGGATGACCGGCGACGTACCATAAACGTATAAAATTATGAAATGCTGAAAAACCATGCACTGTAGTGAAACCAGAATAAACTTATAATTTACATCGATTTCCAGACTTTGCTAGCACTCGTATTTTACTGAAAACTTGTCCTGCACTAAGCTGAGATCAGGTAGCCTGCGAGCAAGCTCTCCATTTGGGGATATCGTGAAAAGCAGACGCGCGAGAGGTCGCCCAAATAGGAGAGCTTGTTCGCAGGCTAGAGATCAGGCTCTACTTTTATCTTCTTAGGTAAATAGATTCCAGGCTAGCAAGGCGAATCGAAAAGTCCATATAGTGGAGTAATTGGGCGCTTTCCATTTAGGAAAAAAACCCGGAAATTTCGGTGGTAGCAAAAGTGGAATTTCCGATTGGTAAAAAGTTGTTCCATTTGGTCGTAAACCCCGGTACGTGGCGGTGCCCGACCGTGGACCTGGAACTGGTACAAACTACGAGAAACGTAAATGGCACACGAGATTCCGTTCGGAAATTCCAACCGGGAAAACGGGACCACCTTTTTAGATTTTCCACTTTTTCTGGGAATTTTCCAGTGGGACGAACCGACGAAACGTGTTCCATTTACCGCCGAACCGGAAATTCCGGAAATTTTGAGTAAATGGAAAGCGCCCATTGTGTACCTGAATTACGTGTGCTTCCGAATCGAATGTGTATTATGACTGTTGCATCACTTGCATGTGCATTCGCGTGATTACTGTGACATCAGACGGACCTTGAACTCAACACCAGGGCCTTCGAGGCCACTGATTATTGTGTTCCAAAATGTGATAATTAACCTATCAAACCCGCAAACTTCTTACTGAATTACTGCTTAATTATGTCAATGCCCCTACTTACCAGGTGACCAGGAGTCTTAGCAATATGCTCTAACAAGTCCTTTTAAAGAAAGTGGAATGGAAGTCGATGCTGCAACAAGCTACATTAACTTGGCTAAAACTTGCCGAACCTCTGGTGACCTTGAGCAAGCCAAGGAATATCAGCAACGTGCTCTAGACATTTATCTGGATAAACTCGGTCCCGAACATGAAACCATTGCAAGGAGCTGCGATAGCCTAGCTTCCATATGTCAAGACTTGGGTGATTTTGAGCAAGCCAAGGAATATCAGCAACGTTCTCTAGACATTCATCTGCATAAACTCGGTGCCGAACATACTACTATTGCAGAAACCTACGAAACCGTGGGTTGTTTATACCGAGCCTTGAAGGATTTTGAGCAAGCCAAGGAATATTATCATCGTTCTCTGGACAATTATCTGGTTCAACTCGGTCCCGAACATATTACTATTGCAAGGACCTACGGTAGCCTAGCTTCAATATACCAAGAATTGGGTGATTTTGAGCAAGCCAAGGAATATCAGCGACGTTCTCGAGACATTTCTCCAGATAAGCTCGGTCCCGAACTTGATAAGGTGAATACAAGCTTATTTTTCTTTGTCTTTAGTAAAACTCGTTAAGGTCAGTTTCAATGAATTCAACTGTTTATCGAATTCGGTGTTTTGATGAAGTAAGGTTTCGATAGATTCCACATCAGTTTCGATGACACTCACCAGTTCGACGAATTCAGTGCTTCGACGAATGTAAGGTTTCGATGAATGGCAATAGAGTATTGTATGAATTTAACCGAGAATTCAAAGAATTCAAACCAGCTTTTGATAAATCCACAAGTTTTGGGCAATTAAATTCACAAGTTTCGACAAATTCACAAGATTGAACTTTGAACCCGATAAAGTGCCATACCAAAGCAAACAGTGCGCATTTCTAACGCAGGCGCCACTGGGCATCTTTGAAATTAATACAAATGTATAATTAAATGAGTGCGACTGAAATGATTTTTTCGAACGTAACGTTCTTGCAATATGGCAAGCCCGCTATAAGACCGTGGAAGGGTATTGCAGAAAGTTATGTCGTGGCCCATCAAACCTAAACCCAAATCTCAAGGGGTTTACGGCCAGGTTTGGTTCGAGTTAGCATGAGCTTCGAGATACTGTGAGTCAGCAAGTATTTCTACCACAGTGCGTAACAATAATTATTTAAAACTGGAGTATGGTTATTGTTGAACTCGTCATAGAGTAAGCTAAAACTTTTCTTGAAGAAAATCGTTTCGCATCATAAAAGTAAAATAATTAGACTGTCTCAAGAGAGAAGAGCTTTATGCTCTCTTGACTGCGTCCTAAAAAATGCAACACTGTGAAAAAACATTGAAAGCTACGGCTCAGCCAATTCCAAGAGTACCCATACCTCTGCCGGGTATTTGTTAGGCATTCGTCCTGTGTTCCCAAGGTGGGGGTATTTGTCATCGAATGTCTGCCGGGGGTGGGATATTTGTCATGGTTGAATTTTATGTTTTCTATCACCTGTTTACAACTTCGTTCCCAGGTTCTCTCTCCGACAGGTAGGAGAGACCCCTGGGAACACGGCTGACCTGTTTGAAGGAAAATCTGTGGAATAATATTCGTACACGTAAACACACAAGCTTATCAAAGAAAGCTTTGATAATTCAAAACTTCGGGTCTTTAGCCTGAAGACAGACGTTGTTTTCTTTTTCTTTTCGAAAATCGACTATGCTACAATCCTGGACAAAAGTCCTTGGGGACAGAGATGCAATATTTGTAATTATCTGTAATTTCTGGGTGCTTTCAGTGCTACCTTTTGGAAAATACCTTGCAAGTTCTCCCTCCCACCGCCTTAAACATTGTTGACTTGGGGAGAATTGCTGGTTTTCACATTACGTCATCAAAATTCAGTTTAAAGAATTAATAATAATAATAATAATAATAACGGTTTAATATCAGTACATCCATGGTATGGCTGTTCGCCTGATATAAAAGTAAAATGAGGAAATTAACATAAATCTGAATTATGAATTTGTAAAAAGCTAGGTAATAAACAGTAAAATGTAATTATACAATATATACATACATTATCTAAAACTAGGCAAGAAATCATTCCGCCCTATTCCGGCAGCGCTCCCTTAAAATACATAATGTTTGCTCTTTGAAGGATTTAAAATTATGACAACATTTAACATTGGATGCCAGAGAATTGAAGAGGGCTGCTGCGCTATACTGAAAAGTGTCCGAGGCGTGGGGAATAACTAGATTTATGGTACTTGATGACCGTAAATTTCTAGCATGTCTTACTTTCTCAAGCTGAAGGTTTCTGGGCCAATCATGAGAGTATATAGCTTTGTGCGCGGCCTTAGAACGTGTCATTCTCTACGTTCTTTCGTAGGCAACCAGCCTAACTTAAGAACAGAGTCC